TTCCTCAACCTCCCATGTCACTGGGATTATAGGAGGGCACTACCACACCAGACACTGACTCCTCATTCTAAGAGCTAAAGATTAATATCTTAACTCTTAGCCCTGGCAAAGTGACTTAACCCTGCCCTTTTGGCAAGCCTTAGTTTCTTCTGATAGTAATAGCACTAGCCTTATGGCATCAGACTGACTAATAAATGAGGGGTGTATGTAAAATACCTAGCAAACTTTTTGGAATGTAACTTTGAACAAATGTTAGTTATATTTATTATTAATCTTAGTTCACTTTGACCATTACACATGGCACTTAAAATTATAATTAAGTTTCTCTAGTTGTAGTTTCTTGATAAATTTAGGGGCATACATTCTCTTATGAAACTAACAAACTTTTATCTACTATATCCTAAGGACATGGGTGCGTTAGGAATTACACCTACATGCACAAAACCAAGACAATCAATTACAAAGGTGGAGATTTATTATCTCACTTGAAATAATTCCATAGGTAGAAAGTCAAAGGTGAAGATGAGAATCCACAATGTCATCAGGGTACAAACTTCTTTTGTCTTCCTGTTCCCTCAGTCTTAGTGCATGGTGTCCATTTTCAAGATCAAAGATGGTGCCTTGGCCACCAAAGATCATGTCTTAATTCTAGACAAGATAGGGGAAAGGCAAGAAAGGTGAAAAGAGATCCTTCCAGTTGACTTGGTTCTTTCAGGGCTCTTCTAGAAGCCTCACTCATTAACTTTTGGTTACATAAGATTGGCTATCATTGATTGCAAGGGAATTCAGGAATTGTGTGCTTTTCCTTGTACTCACTGATACCCTAAATCAATTTGGGAATCCTTTGTAAGAAAGAAAGGAGAGTGTTTATAAAAAGGCACCTGTCTGTCTTTGTTCTTGGAGCAGAAAGAGCAGATGGGTACATTCTAGACCAAAGTTCTGTTATACATCATTAATAAAGGGCCTTCCTAGAGATTTTATGTTTTAAAATGTATGCTTATGAAAAGTTCTTCAATACCCACTTTCCCTATGCCTCCTCATATCAAATCCTTATACTTGTTCTAGAGAAAGCCTTCTGTTTTAATCAATATTTACTTGATATTAGATTTTTAGAAAATATGTTGGTAGTATATCCATTTTTGCTAATTACTAGATTGGTCTTGGTGAGCGCTCACAAAATATTCTCCAATTTGCCCAAATTATATGGTTATAATTCAGTACATAATATATTATGGGGTAGTTCAAATGGTTTAAAACAAGATTTAAAAGATAGGTTTAAAAATCTGGAGAGAAGATGATAGATATATTATCCTGTAGAGGTTTTAATAGCATCTTTTGGCGTTTTTGTCCATTGGCATTATCTTAGAATGTAAGGTAGAAAGTTATTTGGGAAATCCTATCTGAGATATTTGAAATCATTATTATTAAAATTATTATAGAGCTTTCTTGCCTTCCAAGAAATCAGAAGGCACTAATTAAGGTGCTCCATGCTTCCAAAATAGTCCTGTCCAGTGGAACTTTCTGTGTGATGTCTAGTTCTCTTCTGTGCCACTCAATATGGTAGCCACTAGCCATATGTGGCTGTTGAACCTTTGAAAGGTGGCTAGTACCATCGATGAACTGAATTTTTAATTTTAATGAATTTAAACTTAAACATGTGTCTAGTGGCTACTAGGTTAGACAGCATGACACTACAGCATCCAATATTGTTTCCATCCACCTGTTTCTGGAAATCCTATGCTCCCAGCTTTGATGACACAGCATTCTTTGGTTCTGTTAGCTACTCTCTGTCTCTTCTTACTCCTCCTGCCCTCTAAAAATAGTCTCCCCAAAGTGTTTGTGCTTAACCCTTCCCCCCCTCTTCCTATACTTCCTTCTCCGGGGAGGTAGCCCCTGAGCTCTAACAGTGAGCTCTGTGGAAATGACACCCAGGTCTTTTTACCCCACACCACTGTCTCCAACCCCAGCCTGGTGGTGTTACTTGGACATTCCGTGGTCACCTTGGAACTGAACTGAAGCCATCACCTCCATGTCTGTTGTTCACCTCCCTCCCCGCTCTTTCTTCTAATGATCACCTGATTTCCTCTTCTCCTCAGCATCCTCCGTCTCTGGCATCTCTTCCTCTCTGACTGTTGTGGAGTTTTGGAATTCCTCTGGCACAGCCCTCTACTTTCATTCTCCAGAGTGCTATCTTTTTTCAGGATGACAAAAAGTTTTCCTAAATGTTTATTGTTGCAAACTTAATGCATTGAGAAAAAAAAATGTAAGAAGTAAAAAAGAATGGAAGTATGTCATAAGTCTCAGCACCCAGAGTGCCATTTTCAATTTTTTGGTTGTGACTTCCCCCATGTGACCTCTCACAACCTCTTGTCTGCATCACTGTGGCTGTGAATGTTCAGCGTCTCCCCACTCTAATCCACCGCTATTTCCCAAGGCATGATTCTCATCATGTCACTCTTCTGTTCCGCCCATAAATCTCTGAGGCACCCAGTTGTCTACTGAATTAAATTTGTCTCCACTGATGGGGTGTCATGCCAACCTGACCTTTGCTTTCCTAGTTTTCAACAGCGCTGATATGGGACACACGGCACTAAGAAATGCCCACAGGAGCAGGACTTGCAGGTTGTGCGTGGTTACTTATTTCACTTGGCTTCGATCCATGAAGCACTATTGCTTTCATTCTTTCTTCACGAAAACAAAACTCCAAAATTATTACCTGTTAGACTGTGGTAGACAGATTTATTGGTGTGGATTTCAATTCTTTCCCCCCAAAATATGCTTTTTTTTTTCCATTTCTGTAACTGAGATAGTTGCTGTTTCTAGTTCTACTGTATTTTCTGATTACATAGCATAAAGCCCCATGGAGCTGAGTGTTCTCCTTCATGTGCCCATGGAGAGAATTCTTTCCCTGAACTGAGAAACTCTAAGAAATTTCACTTCTGTGGAGTCTTGAGGCCTCGAGTCAATTAAAAATGAATCAATAAGTGTTTATTGTAAGTCTGTAAGGAATAGGTTCCTTCATGGGATGAAAATTTCCTAGGCATTCTTGAATTTGGCGTCTTTCTGGCCAATGGGTTTGGACCTTAGCAAACACCACCACATTTGTGTTTTGGAGCTTGGGCACCCTGCTGGGTTTACCCAGCCTGGCGATGGTGAAGCTGGACTCACTGGCTCCCTGAGAACAGGCTTGCCTTTGCTCAGCCTGTAGCCTCTTCTGGGTTTGGGAGGATTCAGAGCAGAGGAGGAGGACTTTGTCAAGTTGGGTTTGGTAGCTTGAAATTTAATCTACTGCTCATTGAGCATGCATGGATCTACTCCTTAATGAATTATGTCCTTGGCTCTGTCTTATTTATCTTTTAGCAGCTCCCTGGCACATGGTAAGCAATTAATAAATGGTTGCTATTATTAGGATTGTGATTATACTGATGCCTCCACAAACACATTCTTTGTCTCTGCTTTTTCTCTTGCTCCAGACTGAGGTTCCCAGCTGCCCACTGGATGTCATACACATTTGCACCTTTGCCTGTGTTGTAGATTCTGCCAAGCCTGCCTTTCCACCCTTCTCTCCTCCTATTAAAATCTTATGCACGCATTTAGGACGAGGCTAATGCCTCCTTCTCGCATGAAAACTTCCCCCTGTTTGGAGAACATTGCCTGTTCATCTATATTCTGCTCTGCTTCCTCTCCCCCACCTCTCCTCCCCTCCCTGGCATAGTAAACTGTTAGTTCTACCCTTTAATAACTTTAGTTGTTTACACGTCAGACGCTAAATTGCTCTTGAATTTGATGGAGACTATTCAAGACATTTATGATGCCCACCATGGCTGTCAGATTCTTGCATATAACATGTACATAGTTTAGATATCTTTGGTTCAAGCTGTGATAGAAATTCAAGAGCCACCAGGTCTTTATTGAACTTCTGGAAGAGTACAGTGAGCACCGTATTCCAGAGACATCCTTGCTGCTTGGCTGTTGGGCTCCAGGCATTTCCTGTGCACTGGGAGCTTGAGGTGCACAGATTACTTGTGTTGGGACTTCAACAGATTGTGTTCCTTGTATTTTCAGAGATCTCTAGGAATTATAATCATAATTGAAAGGAAAAAAATTGTCAAAAACTGAATGTCCCTGTTGCCTTTTAGGATCCCACAAGCCACATGTTTCTCAAAAATGAAATAAATAGAAGAATAATGATCTTTCTCCATGTAACTTGCCTTTGTTTTGGTGAAAGGCAGAGCTGTGAAGCAGCCAGCTCTCCAATGTCTCTGCCTTAGTTTCCTCATCTGTAAAATAGAAAGGATGATAATATTCCCGTTAGAGCATCTCATGAGTTTATACAAAATGCTCAATAAATAAAGCCTTTATTATTATTATTACATATGTACTCAATACATTTATTTATTACCATCAATATATTGATGGATATTGTCCAATAAATGAGAAAGATACAAATCCTCAAATTTACCTAAGTTACTTTTCACCCCAGAGAGATGCAAATTCTTTTTTTTAAACAGTTCCAAATTTATAATACTCATGCATACCCATTGTTGTGCGTGCTATAACCTGCTATTGCATGCCTACATAACATCAAGTTTATTATGCCATGCAAACAACTTGGTTCACCTCCTTGGTTGATTGTAGGTCTTGAAAAATAAGTATGAATGGAAAGGAACAAAGGCTTACTTACTTTTTGCTCTTGTAGTTCTGCAATTCCACAGGGTGTGGGGTGCGCTGAAAATTGCAGTTACATGGTTATTATAAGGCAATTACATCAACAGGGCTTTTCTTTCTCTCTCACATTTCAAAGGAACATGTGTCCCAAGAGCCTTGTTCTCCTTTAATGATCTCGACATTGTCACATTATACCCAAGTGTAAAACTATGACAATGCCTTTTGCCCTGGCTGCCAAAAGTAACATGTAGGACACATTGCGGTTGAAAAGAGAGAATGGCCTCTTTATGGTGACTGGCCTGGAATTATAAATATTTTTATTTCTCCCGTAGGAGATGGCTCATGGAAGAGAGGAGACAAACACGACTTTGAGGCTAAGCAAGCATACTCATCCCTCCAAACAGTCACTCTACTGAGGACCGTGAAACCTGAGTTTGAGAAGTTTTCCATGGAGGTGAAAAGTTCTGTTGAGAAACAAGGGCTCAATGAGGAGGATTACGTAAGTGCTTGATTATGAGCCTAGCCCTTCAGCATTCTGAAAACGGTCTTATAATTGAGTCAAAGGTGACAAAGGGTTCCATTCTGAACCATTCAGAAATTCTGAGTTCAGGTCTGAATGTCACTGTCTCTGTGTTTTTTTTTTTCCCCCCCTGGCCAATTTTCCTCCCTCCTTCCCCCACCACACCTCTATCATCTCTGCCCCTCACTTATACTTTTTCTGGAAGGAAAATTGCTTTTTTATGGGGGTCTGTAATGCTGAGCAGAATGTCTGCAGACGTCCATCACCTATTCAGCTAGAAGGGATCAGGAAAAGATGACTAAAAGAACACCCAGGTTCTGCATGCCTTATTTCTCCAAAGCATGGTGGCAGAAGTTATTTTTGGATTTGGAAGTCTCTTTTGGCAATCTGTCTCTGCTTTATGGTTGGCTGCTTCTCTTTCTTGTAGACAGTGCCCTTGCTCCCTTCTGCTGCAAGCTGCTGCTTTTTTAGGCTTCCCACTCCTGCAGTGCTGTTGTAACTATTGCATTCCTAAGAATGGACTGAAGTCAGAAGCTTAGCCAGGACTAAGGATTAAGCAGGGGAACTTGTATAAGAACTGCTGAAGGCAGCCAGCTACACCTTCCTGGGTGTCTTTGTTTTACCATGTGTCTGAGGCGTCTGTGGTATCACCGCGGCAAATCCTTTCTCAGAGCAGCAAGAACAGTGGGCCCTTGGGCTGGCTGAGTAGGTGTGTTGGTTTTCAAAACTGCTTACTCTACACTATCCAAAACAGAAGCCTCCTTAATGATCAATGTATGGCTTGGATAGTCCCTGCCCAAGTTGGATCAGGACCAACTTTACAAGAGATGGTCACTTCCAAACAGGTCGTCTCCCAGAGTCTTTGTTGAAATATGACAGTGCTCTGGTATTGGCATTAGACAGAACTACACTCAGCCTGTATCTCACACTTCTTCATGTTGTGTGAGCTTGGACAAATTACTCAGTCTCCTAGATCCAAACTGACACCTCACTGCTGGGAAAATGCAGATAATTGGTCTGATGCTTTTAGCACTATCTCTAGCAAAAAGTTGGAACTTAATAAATAGTGCCTCTGTTATAAACAGTTACTGTTATAAGATTATACCTGTCTTTATAAAAATTTGCTTAACAGCCGGGCATGGTGGTTTACGCGTGTAATCCCAGCAGCTTGGGAGGCCGAGATAGGAGGGAGGATAGTGAGCCAGCCTCAGCAGAAGTGAGGAGCTAAGCAACTCATTGAGACCCTGTGTCTAAATAAAATCCAAAATAGGACTGAGGATGTGGCTTAGTGGTTAAGTGCCCCTGTGTTCAATCCCTGGTCCTAAAAAAGAAAGAAAAAGAAAAAGAAGAATATGCAATACAGAGAAATGCCTTGCGTATATTGCCCAGTTTTTCCCAAGAGTAACATTTTGGAATTTGGAAAATTATTTATAAGCTCACAACAGGATATTGACACTGATATAAAGCATTGGTCATACTCAGATTTCTCTCCTTCCTTCTTGGAATTGAAGCCAGGGGTGCTCTACTATTGAGCTACATCCCCAACACAAGGTCCCCCTCAGTTGCTGAGGCTTGGCTTGAATTTATAATCCTCCTGCCTTAGCATCCCATGTTGCTGGGATTACAGACATGTCATGTAATGTGCTATTGTGCCCAGCTCTCAGATTTCTTGTGTGCATGTGTGTGTATGTGTGTTGAGTTCTATGCAATTTTTTCACCTGTGTGATTTGGAGCTTCAAATTTTATCAAATGCCTTTTCTACATCTACTGAGATAATTGATAGCTTTTTAAAAATTTGTTCTTTTTAGATATACATGACAGTGGAATGTACTTTGACATATTATACATACATGGAGTATAATTTATTCTAATTAGGATCCAATTCTTGTGGTTGTACATGATGTGGAGTTACACTGGTATTCATGTGCAAGGATAGGTTAGTTACGGCTGATTCCATTTACTATCTATTTACTGGCAAATGCCATAATTTCATAATTTCTTGATGGCTGAGCAATATTCCCTTGTGTGTGTGTGTGTATGTGTGTGTGTGTGTGTGTGTATGTGTATGTATATATGTGTATCATAATCTATCACATTTTCTTTATCTATTCATCTGTCGTAGGACACTTAGATTGGTTCCATAGTTTGCTGTTGTGAATTAAGCTGCTGTACACATTGATGTGGCTGTGTCACTATAGTATGCAGATTTTAAGTCCTGTGGGTATAAACCAAGGAGTTTATTCTGTTATAAAATTGTAATGTGATGAATTGCATTAGTAGATTTTTCCTAATTTTTGCCATCTGTATTCTCTCTACGTTAAGACTTTAAGGGGCTGGGGATGTGGCTCAGGGGCTGGGGATGTGGCTCAAGCGGTAGCACACTCGCCTGGCATGCGTGCAGCCCGGATTCGATCCTCAGCGCCACATACAAACAAAGATGTTGTGTCTGCCAAGAACTAAAAAACAATAAATAAAAAAATTCTCTCTCTCTCTCTCTCAAAAAAAAAAAAAGACTTTGAGCTTCTCCCTTTCTCTCAGTTCATATTTTGGGGAGTATAAGTTTTAAAAAATATATATCTTTTATTTTTTAGTTGTTCATGGACCTTTATTTTTAAAAATTTATTATGTGTGGTGCTGAGAATTGAACCCAGTGCCTCACACATGCTAGGCAAGTGCTCTACCACTGAGCCACCACCTAGCCCTGGAGAGTGTAATTGTGGTCAATCCTCTACCTGTTTAGGTGGAACTCTTCAGGCTGGGCCATCTTAAAGGCTCTGGCAGCCTGTGAATCAGCTTTTTTGGGTCAAATATGTCCACTCCTGCTTTATTGAACTTTAGTGGTTGGTTGGGCAGTGTGTGTGTGTGTGTGTGGCGGGGGTGTGGTAGAAGCTGGGAATGCTTACGGCTGAGTTTCTATCAGGACTGTGTTACATGTGCTATAATCATCTAGTTACTGGTGCATGTCACCTTGTATATTCCTTTGGGTAACATTTTATAAGTACATTTTCCTTGCTTGTGAACCTGTTGTATCCATTCCAATACAACAAGCTTTAATGGGGCCAGTGGCTACCATTGGATGAATCATTGCCCAGTGCTTAAACACACAGGCTTGGAGTATCATAGCCCTGGCTTTCTCTGTTACTAAGTAATTGTTTTTTTGGGCATGTTTCTGAAGCTGCCTTTAATAGTTTACTCACTATTAAACAAGAATGATAATTTTTTAAAAAAATGTATTAGTTCTTTTTAGTTATACATGATAGCAGAATCCATTTTGATATAGTTACACAAGCATGGAGTATGTCTTATTCTAGTTAAGATTCTATTCTTATGGATGTACATGATGGTGGGATTCACTGTGCTGTTTTCATACATGTACTTAGGAAAGTTACGTCAGATTCATTCTATTGTCTTTCCTATTCCTACCCCATTTCCCTTCTCTCCATTCCCCATTGTCTAATCTACTGAATGTCTGTTGTTCTGCCCACCTCTGCCTTATTGTGGGTTAGCTTCCACATATCAAAGAAAGCATTAGACCTTTGTCTTTTGGGGATTGACTTATTTCACTTGGCATGGTAGTCTCCAGATCCATCCATTTACTGGCAAATGTCATAAAGTCATTCTTCTTTATGGCTGAGTAATACTTCATTGTATATATATATACCACATTTTCTTTATCCATTCATCTGTGGAAGGACACCTAGGTTGGTTCCATAGCTTGGCTATTGTGAGTTGTACTGCAAGAAACATTAATGTGGTCATGTTACTGCAGTATGCTGATTTAAAATCCTTTGGCTATATACTGAGGAGTGGAATAATTGGGTCAAATGGTGGTTCCATTCAGGTTTTCTGAGTAATTCCTATTCTGTTTTCCATAGCAATTGTACCAATTTGCAGTCCAATTTATGAGTGTACCTTTCCCCCACATCCTTGCCAATGTTTATTGTTACTTGTATTCTTGATAATTGCTATTCTGACTAGAGTGAGATGGGACCTCAGTGCAGTTTTAATTTACATTTTTCTAATTGTAGAGGATAATAATTTTTAATTGTCAAAAGTTGTTGATAGAGCTCAAGAATTGTATAAATAATAATCCACACTATTCCAGGCCCTTAGTGAGGATTCAGAGGGTGGTAAGTACTCAGTGGTGTTTTTCTTACTTTCTTTCCTTACACTCCAGGTCAAGTGAGTGATGCTCCTGCCTGCCCAGTGTCCCTAGTATTCCCCATGTCCTGGTCAAATTCCACTTTCTCAGCATGTCCTCCCACACTGACTCACTTCACTCTAATCCCTTCTAGTAGAGTATATCTCTCAGGCATATCCCCATACGTTTGTGTAGGATTTTCTAGCCTTTGGTCTCTTCCACACTCTATGAGAACAGGAACCAGGTCCATGTCTGTTCACTCTTGGCATCCTCTTACTGTGTGTGTGGCACAGAGGAAGCAACTAATGAAAGAACTATTGTAACAACAGGAGCATCCTCAATCTGAAAATCCCAAATCCCAAATGCTCCCAAATATGAAGCTCTCTGAGCACTGACACAGCATCACAAGAGGGAAATTGCCTACCTTACCTTGTTCTCACCTGACTGTCACAGTTGAAATACAGGTGCACTAAAGATGTACAATCTTACCTTCAGACTATGGTGTAAGGTATATATGGAACATCAGTGAATTTCATATTTAGACTTGGGTCCCATCCCCAAAATATCTCATCATATATATGCCAAAAAAAAAAAAGATTCAGAAATACTTCTGGACCCAAGCATTTCAGATTAGGGATACTCGACCTGTATTATGCTTATTATTTTGTTATCATTGAATCAGAAACATCTCAGATCCAACCCCCTTCTTGTCCAGTGATGGAACAGGGAGTGTGAGGTAGCCTTTCCAGATGGAACTGGGGAATTGCAGTCAGCATAGCAGTGTGTCTGTCCACTGTGCTTAGCCCGTCTCAGGTACACAAAGCCAGGTGTTCATTTG